AGAGCGGCTCAGGGTGCTGCCACAAGGTGACATCACATGGGTGATGGCACATGCAGGATGGCACATGAGGGATGGCACTTGGGTGATGCCATGGGGGTGATGCCACATGAGGGATGGCATGTGGGTGATGCCATGGGGGTGATGCCACATGGGTGATATCACGCAGGTAGAGCCATCCAGGTGATGGCACAGGGGGTGACGCGAGGTACACGACACTGGGGGAGTGATGCCAAAGAGCTGACACCACGTGGGTGACACCACGCAGGCGCTGCCAGGCGGGTGATCCCACAAGGTTCCTGCCACACTGGGGTACCACTGTCCCCATCCCAGCCCCTGGGCAGGACGTGCAAGGCCACCGAGGAAACCCGGGGTCCAGCCCAGCTGGGTGCCCGTGTCGGGGGCTCCGGGAAGGCTGATGGGGCTGTGCCCTCTGGCTCCCCAGTTCTGCAGTGACTATGGCATGGAGTACATCGTGGGCCGGGTCTGGGTCGGCTTCTGGCTCATCCTGATAGTGCTGGTGGTGGTGGCATGCGAGGCCAGCTTCGTGGTGCGCTACCTGTCCCGCTACACCCAGGAGATCTTCTCCTTCCTCATCTCCCTCATCTTCATCTACGAGACCTTCGCCAAGCTTGCCACGGTGAGAGACATGGGGGTCCGGGGCAGGGGGCTGCAGATTGCGGTCATCACCCGGTGGGAAGCGGAGCCCGTTTCCCAGTGTTCTGTCCCATTCCCGGGGGTTTCCCGCCTCGTGCTTCTCTCCGCCGGGGAATTTTGGGGCGGGGAGGTGAAGCCTGGGCAGATGTCCCACCTGGGCTGCAGCAAACATGGTCCTTGCCCAGGAAGTGCCCAGAGAGCCCCGATTTCTTCCCCCCTCCCCTGGCTCAGACCCACCCTGGGTGGCTGGTGGCAATGGGACGGTGTCATCCCATGTCCCTGGGTGCCCGCAGGGTCATCTCAGGTGCCGGAGATGTGACAAGTGGGACATGTCACACCCTGGACCCCTGTCACACTGAAGTGCCCCCGTGCCCCCCTCTACAAGCCCAGCACGGCCCCAGACATGCTGGGTGACACGTGGTCCACAATAGGGTCACGCTTGCCCATACCCACTGTACCAGCTGGCTGCTGCTCCAGCCCCGTTTCCGAAGGAGCGTGGAGAAAACCGAGCCTAAAAATAACCCCCTGCTCACCGTGTGCCCAGCTCCCAGCCTCGCCGGCCACCCTGGCATGCACCCTGCACCCATGCGCCTGCCAGGATGGTGCCACGGGGCTCCTGGCACAGCAGGAGGGATGCAGGGGGATCCCCCATCCCCACGTGCTAGTGGGGATCCCGTCCTCCCTCACCCTCTCCCCTTCCCTCTCCCAGATCTTCAAGCATCACCCGCTGAAGCGGCATTACGCAGTGTTGCCCGTGGCCAGTCCTGATGTGCCGCAGCCCAACACGGCACTTCTGTCCCTCGTCCTCATGGCTGGCACCTTCTTCCTGGCCATCTTCCTCCGCAAGTTCAAGAACAGCGCTTTCCTGCCTGGCAAGGTGAGGATGAGGGGGTCACAGTGGCATGTCTGTCCGTCTGTCCCCCCCCACTGGAGCCGGGGGCAGCGCTGGGGGCAAAACGGGAGCTTGGTGGGCACAGCTTCCCAAAAAGGGGCTGGTTGAGACCCTGCAAACTCGTTGCATGCTCCTGCAGAGGTCTTTGCTAGAGCTCGTCGCTGGCAGGGACACTGTGGGGGTGTCCCCCTCGGGCGGGGGGGGGACACACAGATGGGTTTAACGTGGTGACGGTGTCCCCACAGGCCCGACGCTTGATTGGGGACTTCGGAGTGCCCATTTCCATCTTCATCATGGCACTGGCCGACTTCTTCATCGAGGACACGTACACGCAGGTCCGGGAGCAGCGGGAGGGCAGGGCTGGGTTGGGGGGGCACACAGGTGTCCCCAGCAAGGGGACGTGGAGCCGAGTGCTCGTCGCTGTGTCCTGTCCCCGTCCCCTCACTCCCCCCATCTCTGCTCCCATCTAGAAACTGAACGTCCCCAGAGGGCTGGAGGTCACCAACTCATCCGCCCGGGGCTGGTTTATCAACCCCATGGGGCTCACCACCGCCTTCCCCATCTGGATGATGTTCGGCGCCGTGGTGCCCGCCATCCTGGTCTTCATCCTCATCTTCCTCGAGACACAGATCACCACGTGAGGACTGGGGGGATACGGGGAAGGAAGGGAGGGCTACGGGGTGCCTGGAAGGGGACATCCCACCACCGACTCTTCCCCCTCTGTCCCCTCCAGACTCATTGTCAGCAAGCCCGAGAGGAAGCTGGTGAAGGGTTCTGGCTTCCACCTGGACCTCCTGCTGATTGTGGCCATGGGGGGGCTGGCTGCCCTCTTCGGCATGCCCTGGCTCACCGCCACCACCGTCCGCACCATCACCCACGCCAACGCCCTCACCGTCATGAGCAAGTCCTCCTCTGCCGGCGAGAAGTCCCAAATCCTGGAGGTCAAGGAACAACGCATCAGCGGCTTGTTGGTGGCCGTGCTCATTGGTGAGCTGAGGAGGTGCCCCCCCCACCCCGGGCAGCGAGGGCTGGGCACCCCCAACAACCCTTCCTGACCTCTCGTTCTCCACCGCAGGTGTCTCCATCCTCATGGAGCCCATCCTGAAGTACGTCCCGCTGGCCGTGCTCTTCGGCATCTTCCTCTACATGGGTGTCACCTCCCTCTTCGGCATCCAGCTATTCGACCGTGTCCTGCTCTTGCTGATGCCACCCAAGTACCACCCCAATGAGCCCTACGTCACCCGGGTGAGCAAGCCCTGTGTCACCTAGCTGGGTGGATGTGGGTTTGGGGGTGTCATGGGCTGTGACACTCCACAGCGCTGCCTGCAATCACTTGGGGCTCCCCAAAGAGCCTCCTCCTTCGGTGCTGACCTTCGCTGGGCTCTTTGGGTCACTGATCTTGCACCGCACCACCACCCTGCACCCTGGGAAGGGGTGCGGGGTGCTGGACCCACCACCCTGACCCCTCTGGGCTCCTCGTCCCGCAGGTGAAGACTTGGCGGATGCACCTCTTCACCTTCACCCAGATCATTGTCCTCGTGCTGCTGTGGGTGGTGAAGTCCACCCCAGCCTCGCTGGCGCTGCCCTTCATCCTCATCCTCACCGTGCCCTTGCGGCGCGTCCTGCTGCCCAAGATCTTCCGGGACATCGAGCTCAAATGTGTACGTAGCCCCAGCACAGGCTGGGAGCCACTGTGGTGCGGGCCCCGTCCCCG